ATCAAAACTGAATAAAAGCGGAAGCGTAACTGAATTCATTGTTTTGAGAATTCTTAGAGCATCTTCAATGGTGTCATGTCTATTTTGATATGTATGTTGTGAAGAAGAGCAATAAAAATAGTTTGTCTCCAATGGTGAATGTCAATTGTAGAATAAATTGACATGTGTAAGAACATAATTAGTTGACGGAAAGAGATATATAAAATAAATAATATAATATAGATAGAAGATGTCTAGAAGTCTTTCTACATCTAGAAAGACTTCTAGAAATTTAACATGCCACATTGGATTTTTGGAGACATGTGGCAATTGAATGGAACAATGCACACTCCATTGGAGATGCTCTTATGTTCTTATGTTTTATGGACTGATTAGGACTTCTAACGATCTTGTTGGACTGGTATGGTCTTCAAAACGAATATCGAAACCTTATAACAGAAGTATATATATTTTTTTCGTACGTGTTTCCGTATATTTCTGAAATGAAAAGGAGGGCGCTTTTAAAGAGAAAACACGCCCCTTCAAAACTGCTCGTACCATAACCAAATAAATAAGAATTATTTATTTTCAGTCTGGGTCCCTCAACAAACAAAAAATCCCATAATGGTATCTACACTTATAAATTCATAACAATATTAAATACTCTCTTTGTTCAAAATTACAATATAGTATATCACTTTAGTTGTATACACGTTTAATTTACATATGTTGTCCAATAAATATTTCCAGCAGGAGACACATTGATACCGTGGTTGTGTGTCACATGATGTAACAAACCTCTCCAAATTAGACAGCCTTTTTGGCATGAACAAATGTGCCTTTTCTAACTCATTTTATTCATGATAACCGCAAAGTCTCAAATGATACAAAACATGCATGGGTACGTACGTAAGGAAATCGTTTTTGGAGGGACAAATATAAACAACAAATAACTGAAAAAAAAAAAAATATATATATATATATATTGAAAAAATTTAAAAAGAAATATGAAATTAGTAGTTTTAATATGCGTGTTTTGATGAGTTGTGTGTTTTGGCAGCTCACTCAATATGGTGGCCTTCACTAAAATACTCAAGAAATTCGACAAGGTATATCGAGGATATTTTTCTTGAAAAATTCTACAGTTCCGTTACGGAACCATTTCCGTCGAAGTTTGTGACAACCGTCGGGGATAGTTGATCTAACAGTTGCAAACCCCTACGGAATGATTCCGTAACGGGACCGTAGCATCTCCCATATTTATTATATATATTTTACTTAATAAAAATGTTTGATTTTTACATTTAATTACATTTTATTGTTGATTGTGAATTTTCATTTAAATTATTATCAGGTGTCAAGCCAGCAGGCATCAGCAAGTTACCTCAAAGTGGTAAAGAGATCCCATTTCATTAGCTCGGATAAGGTAAGTTTATTTAGAGATATTTTTATTTAAGTTATATATTTTTTTATAAATGTCATGATATATAAAAAATTTCCCGTATTTTCCATATTATTTTAGTTTTTATAGTTTCCTTTTTTTATTTATATATTTGACAATTATTTTCAAAATATTAAATTAATAGTTTAAAATTTTTAAGCAATGTGTAAGAAAGTGGGAAAAATATGTTCTGTATTATTCACAAAGACATATACACATATATATAGATACATAGAAGGCCTAAACCTAACTTATTGTACAAGAAACCATTTAACATAACTGACACCCCCCCTCAAACTCAAGGTGGTATAGTGGAGATCAACTTGAGTTTGCTAAGA